ATAGAATAGAATAGAATAGAATAGAATAGAATAGAATAGAATAGAATAGAATAGAATAGGAGTTCTTTATTAGTCAAGTGTGATTGGACACACAAGGAATTTGTCTTTGTTGCTTGTATCCTTACAATTTATATTGATATTCACTGTTTCCTGATTGCTTATTTGTATCCTATGACTATCATTAAGTGTTGTACCTTATGGTTCTTGATTAATGTATTTTGTTTATTATGTACAATGAGAGCATCTGCGCCAAAGACAAATTCCTTGTGTGTCCAATCACACTTGACTAATAAAGAACTCCTATTCTATTCTATTCTATTCTATTCTATTCTATTCTATTCTATTCTATTCTATTCTATTCTATTCTGTTTGGGACCATAAAATATGGGTTAATAACATCCCATGGCGTTCATATAGTGCAGATCTTTGCAGTTGGCAATGCCCCAGGAATAGTCTCCTCCTGAAAACATCACCAATCATCATTTTGGCTACTATTATGCCATTTATTTTATGTACATTATCCTCCAAATATGGTCTATGATGATTATAATGACGGCAGTGATGTGTTTGTATTTCCCTTCCCTTTAAAATAGTTTGGGATTGTTGCTTTAGGTTTACCATTTAATACACCAAATGCATCCCATGCCATAATCAAAAAGCAATGTTTCAAATCCCATTTCCATTCCTTTCTGTATTATATTAATACACATTAATTAAAAGAGCCTCATTATCAGCCCACAGTCAGCACCAAATGTTCAATTAACAGCAGGGCAATGCATTGTTTTTCTCAAAGGTTCCATTAAACACAGTGTGGTGGTCCCTGACCTAAGTAAAAAAAATGTAGACTTTTGATTACAGTTCTAAGTTTCACTGAAAAGAATCAGGCTTTGAAACAGATGTAAATTTGACCAGATTGGACAGTAGATGCTTCTCCCAGAACATTGTTGTGTTCCAAGTTTAGTATTTCTCAATATCGAATAGAATGATGCAAAAATGTGTATTATGAGAGAAAGAAAAATTATCTGTGTATCCCATCACACACAACTCACATTTTTCTCAGCTTTAGTAGCAGCCATGAGGAGATTGGTTTCACTAATAACATATAAGCCTCAGTACTATCAGGCCCAGACTGAAAAATTGAATGCCCTTATTTTTTTACAGCGGTAAAGCTCCAGTCTGATCATTGCTTGGATCCAGGGATTCCGGTCAATGGGCTACGCTATGGGAATGATTTCTATGTGGGGGCACTGGTGACTTTCGGCTGTGATCCAGGGTACACTTTGAGTGATAGTGAAGCTCTGGAGTGTGAGCCAAATTTTCAGTGGAGCAGGCCACTTCCAAGCTGTGAAGGTAAGAATCTGAAACTGGAAAGCTAGAAGTTGAATAGAAAAAGGATATGTTGTGCTAATTTTATTCATCGTTAGGTGGGGTGGAGTGTAGTCTGGATTCCCAAGTGGAAAAGGATGCATTTCAGAGGGCAAAGAGACCACTAAGAATGGAGAGTTTGGTCAGGAGAAAGAGAAGTAGGAAGACTCCCTCCTAGTGATTCCCAGAGTTTCTCTATAGTGTCTATAGTGTCTATAGTGCCTATAGTGATACAAATGATTGCTTTAGTTTAATAAGATTTCTACCTATAAGTAAAGAACGTAAAATAAATTATGCAGAAATAGTTCCTGGGGGCCAAAATCCCAGGTTAGGATCTCTGCAATGTGCTGTCTTCCATATTGCTGCATTCTTCCTTCCTTACCCCTGCCCCAAACGGTTGTACTCATGTGACTTAAATCTGAAAATTTACAATAGACTGGTAAAGATCCAACTTGTTTAACAACAGTGGTAAAAATTGTATCTTACTCTTTAGATTATTGAGTTGAAGGAAACTCAGTTAAGTCAGCAATATCTAAGAGAAGAATTCAGTGTGACAGAGTTCTGAATTCTCTTTGGTCTTTATTTTCAAATCAAAATCCATTGGCCTTATCCAATTCTCAGCATATATTATTTGTGTTAGGTTCCAGTGGGAATTCTGCTTAAGACCCTGGAATTCTGCTTAAGAATATCCAATCCAAAGGGCTTGCCTTCTGCCACTTTTTTTTAAAGGGAATTGTACAGACATGCTTTTAATAATTCAGTAAAATAACTACAGCTGCCTGAAATCTTCCTTAATGTAATTTTAAAGGTTCTCAAGCATCCTCTGTCAGAAGCCCCAAAGGATAATAGGGAGAGGCAGAAGCAATGGATGGTGTTTCCAACATCTTTTTGTTTAGGAAAAAAAGAAACAAAATTGAACTCTTCCAATAGGGCAGTGGTGGAATATAACTATTTCCAAGGTTATTGTTGGGCAAAGTCCTGGGAAGGGGGAGGTGATAAAGAGCACACAGGGTTGATCCAAACACAGTTCTTCTGTTTGGGACAAGTTAGACTTTGGAGCTATGTTCAGCTCTACATTTTTCTGTACTTGATCAAAAAATTTGGGTGTACAAATGCAGAACAAAGGCAGAAATCCTATAGCTAGGGTCTTGAATCATGGCATACATACATGGACTTTGGTGAGCGATTTGGGTTAAATGTCAGGGTTCCAAATAGCATCCAAAAGTACTGTAAATCAGAGTCCAAGGCAAAGGATTCCTCAAAGTTCCAATGTATTAAGAGCGCCATGTTGGCACATCTGGGAAAACCCGAATCTGAAAGCTTCCAGGTTTTCCCACCTAGTTGAAAGTTCAAGATCCTGCCCCTACACCCACAAGTCCATCATATGGTCCAATCTTCCACTGCCATGCTGGCAGCTTCCACCCATCCAGTTCGGGCCAGGTGCAAAGGTGCAGACAAATCATGACCTTGGCTTTCTAGAAATAATTTTGTTATGGCTACATAGCATCTAACTCTGTACAATCCCCCCTCCCATTTTCC